AGACTGAAATAAAGATAGAGGAGACGTCGGGCCTACGGACGCTTGCAAGGCTACCTCGGTGTCTTACTGGACTGAACGTTGGCTCCCGTGCTACTGTTGTTGTCTAAGACCTGGATCTGTGCAAAAGAGCACAGAGTGTAGTATCAGCACAACCGACCCCATGTGCTGGTAAGTGTCTGGCCTAACCCCGGCGAGGTAATGACGAGGCTAGGACCAGACTCCAGATAAACTTGTGCAGTTATATACTAAATGGCGAAAAAGTAAATAGGTAATAAGATATCAAAGCTGGGAAAGAGGAAACATGCTCCGGGGGTAGCAAATAAAACAGAATACCAAAGAATAGTAAGGAAACTACAGTTTAACTTCTAACACGGATAAAGAGGAATAAGGCAACTTTCACTTTCAGTTTATCTTGTTGCAGGCGTGCAACCCGATCCTATTTCTCATATTTTATGGTAGGCGTACCACCCGCTCCCATTTCAGTATATCTTGTGGTAGGCGTACCACCCGCTCACATTTCATTATATCTCGTGGTAGGCGTACCACTCGCTCCCATTTTATTATATCTTGTGGTAGGCGTACCACCCGCTCCCATTTCATTATATCTCTTGGTAGGCATACCACCCGCTCCCATTTCATTATATCTTATGGTAGGCGTACCACCCACTCCCATTTCATTATATCTCGTGGTAGGCGTACCACCCGCTTCCATTTTATTATATCTCGTGGTAGGCGTATCACCCGCTCCCATTTCATTATATCTCGTGGTAGGCGTAGCACCCGCTCCCTATTACATTTCATCACACAATCATAAGAAATCCCGGCAAGGGAACATAAATAATATAATAACTTTCCTGCAAGGGAACACAACAATGTTATAATTTTCCCGGCAAGGGAACAACAATATTGAATTAGTCATCCCAGCAAGGGAGAATCAGCTATAACTAACCTCAACTCAACTTGTACTCAGTTCAATTATTGAAAATGCTCAATCATAGAAGATCATTAAGTAAAGCACCCAAGTGTCATTTAAGAACACAACAACTTTCAATTTAAGACTCACGGTCATTCTTGATACCAACGTATAGATACTCGTCACCATGCCTATACGTCGTACTCAACAAGCAAGTAGCAAGTATGACTCAACTCCTAATCTCTCAAGCTAAGGTTAGACCAAACACTTACCTCGATGCGTTGATCACCACTCAAGTCTCAACTATAGCTTTACCCCTTGATTCCACCACAAATCCGCTCGAATCTAGTCACAAGTTACTTAATTACATCAATAAGTGCTAAATGAATCAACCACAATGCATGAAAATGAGTTTTCTAAAGTTTTACCCAAAAGTCAGAAATCACCCCCTGGGCCCACGTGGTCGAAACCCGAGGTTCGGACCAAAACCCGATTACCCATTCCCCCACGAATCCAAATATATAATTTGTTTTGAAATCGGACCTCAAACTGAGGTCCTAATTCCCAATTTTAGAAAACCTAGGTTCTACCCAAAACACCCAATTTCCCCCATGAAAATCTTTGATTTGAAGTTGAAATCATGTTAAAAGAAGTTAAGGAGTGAAGAAAATGAGTTAGAAATCACTTACCAACGTTTTGGAGAGGAAAGGTTATTTGAAAATCCCCTCTTATGTTTGGGGTTTTGAAAAAGTGAAAAATAACTGAAATTCCCATTTATTTATACCCCTCTGAGACCCCCAGTGCGAATCACATCAAATGGACTGTGGCCGCACAGCCTCCATCGCGGACTGCACAAAGGCGACCGCAGCCGCGCGCCCCTCCCTGAAGACCTGTAGTTGAGCACCCTGTGCGGACCGCACAAAGGCGACTGCGGCCGCACAGCTTCCACCGCGGACCGCACAAAGGCGACCGCGACCGCGCTGGCCCCTCCACGGTCGCACGCGATTTCTCGCGGACCGCACTAGAGGGTTCAGAGACTGCAACTTCCTGAACCTGCAACATCTGACTTTTTAAGCCTAAGGCATTCCGGAGCCCACTCGAAACTCACCCGAGCCCTCGAAACTCCAACCCAAGTATACACACAACCTCAAAAATATCCTACGGACATATTTGTGTACTCAAATTACCAAAATAACATCACGAGCATCGAATTAACCTCGAGATCAATAAAATTTCTCAAAACTCTTTTAAACATCAAATTTCTCAATTAAGGTTCGGATCACGTCAAACGACGTCCGTTTTTAACCAAATTTCACAGGAATGACTCAAGTCATATATAAGACCTGTACCGGGTGCCGAAACCAAAATACGGGCCCGATACCATTGCTTTCTAATCAGTTTTCATTTCAAATTTCCTTAATCAATTTCACTTAAAAATTTATTTCTCGGGCTTGGGACCTCGGAATTCGATTCCGAGCATACGTCCAAGTCCCATATTTTCCTACGGACCCTCCGGGACCGTCAAATCACGAGTCTGGGCCCGTTTACCCAAAATATTGACCGAACTCAAATTTATTCATTTTAAAGTCAAGACTTAATATTTTTCACAGAATTGTATATTTAAGCTTTCCGGCTACGCGCCTGAACTGTGCACGCAAATCGAAGCGACTCTAAATGAGATTTTCAAGGTCTCGGAAGCACATAATAGGTAAGAAAACAGGTGATGACCCTTTGGTCGTCACAGGTGATCAGTGAGCGCAACACAAGGAAATGAGAAAGCATAGGCGACCATCAAAAGTTATGGTGGGTAACAAGTATCTCTTTATTATTAATCAAAAAAAATCTAAATTTGAGTTTTGAAATTAGTGATCTTCCCTCGAGAGTGAAACTTTTTGAGGCTAATTTGAATTAATTGAATCTGCTAATACGAAACATCAGGTGGAAAACAAAAAAGAGAGAGAGCATGGGTCCAATTCCGTAGAGGACAATTTTTGATTATTTGAGTTTGAAGGAATTATGCGTTGCTTAGTGACATCTTTTCGGAGATTGTTAAGTGTTAAATTTGTAGCAGCTAAAGCTACGTATTGATTCTTTTGGATGCTTAGCTATTTTGGTTGGACTTCAATAAGACAAAGCATGTGGTGAAACCATATCAAACCGAAATATATTTAAAAATTATTCGCTAAAAAAACTAACAAATGTTCTCCAGAAATATTTTCTTACAATTTTTTTTCAAAAAAGTTTCTAAAGAACTAACTTTTCCTCAAACTAAACTAAAATTACACAAGCGCCGCTCCGCTCATCTATCTAAATTGGGAAAGCAAAAGATGTTCTCAAAAAGAGAAACTGTTGTCAAAAAATATTTTAAAACTAATTTCTTCACAAAATAAACCAAAATCAAAATGAAATCCATCTCTTCATCCAAAATCCAAATGGGATCGTTGACTATAAGGCGAGTCTTATCCATACACTGACATACACGTACATACCATCGTAAGAAAAAAAAGAAAAAAAAAAGTATTGAACTTCAACACATTCACCAAACTGTATTAATTATTAATAGTTTTAATTAATTATTTGAAATAATAAAACGTATTAGTATTTATTTATTAATGATTAATCTTATAAAAAAATGTAGAGCGCGTGGGAACAAAATTATAATTGAAGAGACGTTGCCCAACCCTAATGACACATACGTGGGTCGCTCTCTTCACTTTAAGCATCAACTCTTCTCTCTTTTCTCGCCTTCACAGATAGACACGAATGTTTCCCACATAATAAAGCCATTTTCAAAATCTCTCTCAAAAACAGCTCAAAGTTCAAAAAGCTCTTTCTCTCTGCTAATCCACTTGTTCACTACACTTTATTCTACTTGTTATTCTTGTTTATCAATCTTGACATATATTTGAAGTTTATTCCTTTCCTGTTATATGCAAAGTTTAGAAGGAAAGCAAGAAATATGGATTCTTTAGCACTTGATGATATAATCAATCGGTTGCTTGAAGTTCGGGGAAGGCCTGGTAAACAAGTCCAACTTTCTGAGGCAGAAATCAGACAGCTTTGTCTCAAGTCCAAAGAAATTTTGTTGCAGCAGCCTAATCTTCTTGAGCTCGACGCACCCATCAAGATCTGCGGTACCACTCCCTAACTTAAGGATTTTTCTTACTTTCAATTTTATTGTTACTATTTTTAATTTGAGTGGAATTGGAGTTCCTTGTAGTGGGCTTTAGTTGATGCTGCAATTTTTTTTTTTAAATTTTTAATAGTTGGTTGTTGACTGGAAATGGCTTTGAGCGGTTATTGAGTTGCAGTGGATAAGTACTGCTTAGGTCGGCGTTAGGGTTACATTCTGTTACTTTAATTAAGGCTGGTGAAATTTTGGTTTTACGATTGGAATTTGATTTTTCCGTTAGGGTGTGTTTGGTACCGCTGACAACTTCTCCGTGATGAAATCAGAAAATATTTCCACCTAAGTCATTTTTCTTCAGAAATGTTCCAACTCAAACTTTCCATCTTTAGTATTTCAAAATTATTGTCAAAACATTATCCTCATATCCTGTTGTCCACCTTGTATATTATATGTCACTTGCTTTATATGCAACTAAGTATGGAAAATGATCCACAAGATATTTCTAAGATAAAACATTTCTATGAAATCCATTTCCCTCCATGAAATGCACCCATATCGTATGAATTTAGTTATGTTTATTATTAGTTTGAGGGTTGTTATTAGTTGCTTAGTATGGATGGAGCTTTTGCATTCAACTTAATTATATGATGCCAGTAGTTTTAGTTACCGACAAGAGTATGCAAAGGAAGGAATCAGCTTGCTATAGAGATAATTTGTATTCCAAAATCCTACTAGTACTTGATAGTGGAGGTCAATTCTAGTGCTTGGGCTGATAACACAAGGATTAACCCTCATCTGTGAATAATACCTCTTACTTTTGAGTTGTTTGTTATTTATATTCTTTTCCTACTTGGTCAGTTTCTGCCGTATGTTGCTAGTTAACTACGTCTAGCATATCTTTATAAATAATGAAATTAGCCTAGGGTAATGATCTCATTCGTGCTTCTCCTCCCACTTTATTGTCAATCAGTTCTCTGAGACTTGGATGGTCCATGCTCCTCTTTATCTGCCTAAGCCCATGTAAAGGTCTCTGATTAACTAACATTATGTCTGGTGCACAGGATGAGACGTGCCTAGAAAAGGGAATGTTTGGATTACTACTTGCCTTAGATGAAAGATTGTGTCCTCTCTGCTTTCTATTTCCCTCTTTTACTAGTTAATGTAGCTAGGAAAATAACCGCTGCCTCTGGTCTTTTTCTTCCTCCCCTTGTACACCTAATTTCTCCTCAAATTCATTGTTCAAAGTAAGATGACTTCTTTTAGCAGTACTCCACTTCATTCTCTTATCTGGTTAAACATAACGTTATGGAATTGGGCAGGAATTCCCTGAAGGCATCTTATTGATATCTGAATTTATTTAATTGATGGTAGGCAGCTTTACGTAATTAAAGTTAGGTTAGCTATTGTTGAGTTTGCATTAGCTACCTCCAAATGCACCTTTTTAAGTCCCTTCTTCTACCCCACGGGATGCCTCCCAACCCCCTCCCACCCCACCCAGATAGAAAGAGGGAGAGAGAGAGAGACAGAGGGAGGGAGAGAGTTGTGCAGAAATGTAGTAAAGGGTATGAATAGTATTCAGTGAATTGCAAGATAAGTCCCCTTTTCTTGTCCTATCCTCCATTATGCGGGAAAAAAAAACACCTTTTACTGGTGAACAATGTTGCGAGTCATGATTACAGTGTGGAATCTATTTTGGATGTTAATTTGTGTAATTGATTCTATAATCGTTATCAAATAGGGTGATGATAAGTGAAGTCCATGATGGAAGTGGTGGAGCATAAGGGCATCAATAGTATTCATAACCAGTTCACCTTTTGGTAAAAACCGAGACATCTAAGTGACTTCCATAATTTTTATATTTGCCAGCTCCTTCGTCATGCAAAAGGCATCCGTTTGTAGGAACTAACATTAGAAGAGAGAGAGAAAGAGAGATCAGCGTGTGGCCACTGAAACGGGTGAAGTTATATAAGTTTTTTGGTTCCTTGTGATTGCTGTGCCATAATCAGTTATTGGCATCTCATACAAAATTTTGGCTTTGATCCATGATTTCAGTTAGTTAATATCGCTGGCGCACCTAGAAGCAAATACAATCTGTAACTTCTGAAATAGATATCAGAGGTAAAAATAGAGGTATATTAAGAGTAAGCGATAATTGTATCAGTTTTAATTGCATTTAGATCCGTGAAATTTAACTGAAGAGGGTCTAGCTTTAATGTTCTTTGGGTAATTGTACCTGCTGGGAATATTTTAGCAAATATTGTCGATCAATTTCTAATATCACCAAGATACTGGTAATTCACCATCCGGTTTCATCAAGCAGTGAGGTCATGGTAATTTCCTTTGACCGAAAGAACTTTGCTCAAAGAGCTAAGCCTGCTGTATTCTGTGCTTCAGGTTGTACATGCATCTGGACCACTGTTTCATTCCCCTTATGCATTTCATTTGCTAATTTTGTTGTTCATATATACATATATATATATATATATTTGGTAAACATTTTGAGCTAATTTGTCCTTTGAATATGTGGTCAGGGGATATCCATGGTCAGTATTCAGATCTACTGAGGCTGTTTGAATATGGTGGATTACCTCCAAAATCTAATTACCTATTCTTGGGTGATTATGTTGATCGTGGGAAGCAAAGTCTGGAAACAATATGCCTTCTTCTTGCTTATAAAATAAAGTACCCTGAAAACTTTTTCCTTTTGAGGGGGAACCATGAATGTGCTTCCGTGAATCGTATATATGGGTTCTATGATGAGTGCAAACGAAGGTTCAATGTTCGACTATGGAAAATATTCACAGATTGTTTCAACTGCCTCCCTGTGGCTGCTTTAATTGATGAAAAGATATTGTGCATGCATGGTGGACTCTCTCCTGATCTTAATCATTTGGATCAGATAAGGAACCTTCAACGACCAACTGATGTTCCTGAATCTGGGTTGCTCTGTGATCTTCTCTGGTCAGATCCTAGTAAAGATGTTAAAGGGTGGGGAATGAATGACCGGGGAGTTTCTTACACCTTTGGTCCTGATAAGGTCACAGAGTTTCTTCAGAAGCTAGATCTTGATCTTGTTTGTCGTGCCCATCAGGTTTGAACTGGATATTACGTTCAATGTTTTTCTGGAATTTTGTTTCTTTAATCTTACTGGCTATGTGCGTAACTGCAGGTTGTGGAAGATGGATATGAATTTTTTTCTGATAGACAACTTGTGACGATTTTCTCAGCCCCTAATTATTGTGGAGAGTTTGACAATGCTGGTGCTATGATGAGTGTGGATGAGACTCTGATGTGTTCTTTTCAGATATTAAAGCCTGCAGAGAAGAAGCCAAAGTTTGGATTTGGGAGCACTGCTACAGCTAAAAATGCAACTCCAACAAAATCAAAGGTAAGCCTATCTCTGCAAGAGGCAACTTTTACTTGTCGATCCTAGTGGTATGCATGTTTTATTTAACAGTTATTTAGTCAACCACCTCGATTTAGTTTTCTAATTATTTGTCTTGCTATTACTTGCTATCAGGGCTTCTCTCACCTTCTTTAGTCGAGGGTCTATCGGAAACAGTCTCTCTGCCCTTCCAGGGTAGGAGTAAGGCTGCGTACATCCTACCCTCCCCAGACCCCACTTGTGGGATTATAGTGGGTGATTTTTGTAAAAAACGCCATGAAAATTTATGTCCTCTATTTTCAAGCACTAGATAACCTTTGCAGAGCCCCTTTATCTCAATTCCTTCTGTTGTTTCTCTTTAGGAAGAAATAAAAATAGGGGTTAGAATTTCATTAGACAAACTATCCGAAATACATTCAGACTAATTTCGATAATTCTTTAACAGGTGAAATTTCAAATGTGAACTTATAGCCTGCTCCCACTGTATTGATTCTCATACATGAGTCATCAATAAAGTAAAAGGTGTTCAATTATTTTTCACCAAAATCAAATTTTAATATGCATCCAAGAGAATAATGTTAGCGGTTGAATTTGAGAACTAATTAATGTCCCTTGAAGTCATTATGGTCAATGTCTCCTGGATCTTTTTCCTTTCCCTGTTTCCTTATTGGATGGGTAAGAGAAAATTATTTTTGTCGCATTTGGTCAATGTCTCTAGGCATCAAAAGATCATTCTGTAGGCTACTTATGGAATATAATCACTATATCAAGTCTTCTCATGATCTCAGATGTGTAATTCAGTCAAGGCAACTATATAGATGCCACATATGTTTTGTAGTGCAGTTGCTGGTAGAATTAAGGTTTTAAGATAGTTAAGTCAGTCTGATGGTTATAGTTCTCCTTTAGAGGCATTATTGTGCTTCCCTGTTATCTTTTGCTTCTTTTACACTGTACTTTGGCTTCATTCATATGCATTCACAGTCACTCAATGACTCTAATGTGATTGTGCCTCAAATAGCCCCTTCAAAAATTATTATTTTAATTTCATTGCAGTCATTTCTTGGTAAAATTGGATGAGATGAACCATAACCGGTATAAATGTCAACTACCTCTCTTAGCTCCATTATACGCAAATGGAGGCTCGGGTTTGGAAGCATTGCAGAAGAGAAGAAGATACCTTCCCAAGATTCGAATGGGGAAAAATCTGTAATAATTTTTGATTTGTCATGTATAATATAAACCAATCCACTGAGGCGAGCTTTATGGTTCACCAGCAAAAAGATTTTCTAACCCTTTGTCTATTCAGGGATACAGGGAACAAAGGTTACCCTTTGTGTTAAATGTCCTGGATCTCTGTTCTCTTTGATTCTTATGTTTCTCTTCTAGCGGTTCAACCTTCTATAGAATTTAGCTGTTTGTCTTCAATTATTTTTCAAACTGAAGAATTATTAAACTATCAATTGAACCCTAAAGTATATCAAGAAACATCCATCTTGTATAACATAGGATAAATTGATTAACTACAGGTTGAATTATAGCAATAATCTTGTGAATTAATAACATAATTTTAGTTTCCAAATTATGCAATGGTCTTTATTCATTTTTTTTTCTCCCTTTATGAATTGTAATTATGGTTAAACATACATGCTCTATCAAGGAAGCTCTTATGAATATCCCAGCGTTGTTTGAAGGTTAAGGGGTAAATCAATATACTTGGTTTAGTCAAATATTATGTTCTTGTGTTTCGTTTTGTATGATATTCTTTTTCGTTCTGTTTCAAGAAGAATGATATCATTCTATCTTTAAAAACTTTTGAATGACTTTTAATTTTACTTGTCCAACAATTGATCTTGTTGCACATGTGACTGTTGTCTTTGCTAAGCCAAAGTTGTCGATATCTGCTTTTTCCGTGTCATTGTCCTTGCTTTTGTACCTCACGTTGTGCTTCAACCTAAATCCTTTTCTTAATATGAAAATATGCTAAATGTTTAAACCCTTTGCTTCTCCCAGAAGGCACTCAGAATAACTTTCTCCAAATGTTAATATCCAATGAACACAAAATTTGTGGTTGATGGCACCTATTACACTTTGTTTAAAGGGTGCGGTATTGATTTTGAAGAGATTGCATGCTCTATAGGGTCTTCGGACCATTCAAATATTAGTAGAATGACTTATCAATTGCTTTTGCTGTGAGATATATTGGCTGCATATAACCTAGGGATAGAAAAGTCGAAAACATATACATTAAAGTAATTTATATTTGGTTATCCCATATTTTCTTTACGTTTTAATAGCGTTCTGATCATTTAAAACCATTTCCAACCCTAACATCAAATTTCACACCAAAATGGTGTAACGCCAAATTTAATCCAACCATTACACCATTTTTTACACCAAAAAGGAATATTTCCTCTCTCTTCTATATTATATTATTATCTTCTATTTAAATTTTATTTTTTATTTCCTTCAAACAAATTCTATCATTTTTTTTAAATAATGGTTATATTTCTTTTTATACAGTTATAATAATAGTAAAATTAACTTATAATTTTATATAAATATATCAAAAAATAGGATATAAAATTATAAAGATCTTAATATAAAAATTAATTATATACACAATATATGATAAATTAAAAGTCCAAAAAAATAAAAGTTGAATAAAATAATAATAAATCAAATTTGGTGTTGATGAATAGTGTCGCACCAAATTTGGTGCGACACTATTCACGCACTATAATGGTGCGCAAGACTTGGTGCTCCATTAAAGCAAAAAAATACCAAATTTTACACCAAATTTAGATTTGATGCAAAAAATAGTGCACCTTGGAGATGCCCTTTGAGTCTAGATATATTATCCTTTTATCTTGCAAATAGGAACTACCGACAGTAAGGAACTTATTCTGATTTATAGTTTAACCTTTCATTGCTAAATGGACTAATAGTAGAAGTATTTTCATATTCAGAGAAAAGAAAGTTCATATTGGAATCTCAGAGTTTTGTGAGTGACATATTCCATATGCAGTTGTCCATATACACTAGGGTCGTTTGGCCGAATGTATAAGAATAGTACTGAATATGGTGTAGTAGTAATATTGGGATTAGTTATACCTGAATTAGTTATACTGAGATTATTTTTCATCGATTGTTTGGTTTGATGTATTAAAATAAGCATGCATTGTATAATTTTTTTAAGAAAAATCATTTGTTTACAATACCCTAAAAAACGTAGGAAAGGATTTAGAAAAGATTTTGAAAGGGTATTTTGTCTTTATACATATGTGCATATTTATGTATTAAAATTATAGTAGTGCTAATGCTATGGTTTATTATGTATATGAATAGCACCGAATAAAGTATATAACATTATTCATATGTTGAAAAATACTACTAAACAACGAATTAATAATACCAAAAGTAATACGTATATTATTTTACTTAATACATTCCTATAGACGACCCCAAAGTGATAAGTGATCTTTCTACTATACTCACAAAGACAAAAAGAAGCAGGGGGGAAAAAGAAGAGGAACTTTCACTTTCAATGTTGCTTCTTTTGAATTTTTTCTCTTATCGTATAAGACACGAAAAATTCATGAATAGTATTTTATTCTCTTGATGATACTCCCCTTGTCGGAATTTGCTTTGGTGTCTTATCCATATATGCTAGTGAACTTACTCCACCCAATGTTTACAATATTTTCCTATATATTTCTTTGAGATTGAAAGTTTATATTATTAAATAAAGCAATTTATGGGGTTATTAAATAAAGCAATTAACTAACAGTTGTTGTCACTTTAGGTTTGTGGGAAACCAAATCACATTTACTACCAAAACATCTTTGAAAAGAAAAGCAACTTTTGTGCCCCAATAGCATTCAAATTCCTCCTTTTGCTAACCGTTGAGAGTAATCAAAGGCTAACGGGACTCTCATTTTGGCTTTATAACTTCTCAAAGGGTTCAAATCGGTGCGCCACATAAGACTCATGTGGACCACATACAGGCCAACGAGCCCACTTTAAAAATTTGCAGTGGCAAATGACAAAAAGTGGGGCAAGGGCACCCATAGTCATTTTCAGATATTTAGGGATTAACCGATACTTATTTTGTTCTGAAATATTAAACTAAAAATTTTAATTTCAGGACAATTCAGTACATTTTTGTTCAGAAAATGTGTAATGAAATTGAGGATGCACTGGCTAATTCCTAAACATCAACCCTTTAGAGTGACTATCTAATGTCATTTTTACACAAAAAGTGCAATAATAGCAGATTTGACGAATTTAATACTACTCTTTTCGTTCTATTTTACATCCGAGATTTTGAAGTACGAGGATCAAAGACGTTTGCTTCAAAAATATGTCATGAAAAAATAATTGTAAATTTTCAAATGACTTTATGACCTACCAGCACAATACGAGAATTCGAGAATGAGAGAGCTAATTTGCTTGCTTGTGCACGTGAGAACTACTGGGTTAAGATGCATCGGAGGAACTTCGAATAATTTTTTTCTTTATTGTTCGACAGTCTTAACAAGTTACTTGAAACTCTGCCTTTTGTTTTGTGCGGAACCATTTTTAGTTTTTGTGAAAAAGCTACTCTAGAAGTCTTTTTAGTTTTTACAAAAATGTAAAAGCTTTTCTCTAATTGTATTTGGTTAAAAATTTCAGAAGTTTAGATAAGTTTTGCAGCAAATTCAGTACTTATTTAGAAGAAATGTCACAATGTGAATCCAGTTATAAAATTCATTTTTTCTTAAACTAAGATTTAATTATTTCGAAATAATATAGTGTTACAATAGTTAATACTTTAACATGTTTAAAATAAATTTCAAAGAATTACAATATAATTTTTTATTTTATGCTATAAACGACTATCACCTAAAATATGTAGAAACAAATAAACTTGTTAATCGGGCCGGGCTGACCCGTTTTCAACCCGCTTCAACCCGGGTTAGCTCGGTTCAGCCCGGTACTGTAGCATATAGGGCAGGCTGGGACGGGTTGGTAGGGGGACCGGGTTTTGGACGAACACATTCAACTTAACGGGGCACCGAATCTGCGTAACCCTTCATCCGTAAGTGTCACACCTCCTTTTTTACCACCTGAGGGTAGGTGTAATGGAGTTTTTTCACTTTAAGTGACATTATTCGAAATGAGATTATTTTATTTAATTTCTCAGAGTCGCCACTTGGAATATTTTAATTGGTGTCCCAAGTCACCGGTTTATTTTTAAATCCCAAATCGAGGAAATTCGACTTTCCTTTTGAAGTCTGCGAACGAGAAATTCTAAGTAAGGAATTCTGTTAATCCGGGAGAAGATGTTAGGCATTCCCGGATTCCGTGGTTCTAGCACGGTCGCTTAAACTATTAAAAGTGGCATATTATCCGATTTATTACATGTTTTAGCCTATGGTGTATTTTTAACTTATTAAACTGCTTTTAATTATTTTTGAAATGCTTTTAGGAAAATTCAACGTTATTTAAAACATGTCTTGAATCATGCCACATGAAATGCACCCGCGGTTCGCGACGCATTCTATTTATCATTGTTAAGAATTGAAATTGGGTCACATGAAATGTACACCCGAAATTAGTAATCAAAAGAAAATCAATTTAAAGAATGTGCCTAAAGCAACTACGAAAGTTCAAATTAATAACAAAGTTTGCGAGAGCCATGAAAAATTCAATTGATGGCACACCTCGATTTTCAAAGAGTTAGTATTAATTACATGAGGGTCATGAGTTATTTAATGAAAATGACACATCTCAAATTTTCTATAAAAAGCTAACTAGTTTTGTGAGGGCCATGGGCTTAGGGGTTTTATTTGGCATGACACGCCTCAAATTATTTCAAAGGGGTTTTATTATTCGAAGTTGTTATGATCGGGTCACATGAAATGCACACCCGAATTGAGGATTATGTATCGTGGCCATGCCATGGGAACCATACACATAGCCACGATGATTTATTAATCGAGCCTGACGCCAAACTACGATGTTCATAAGTATTTATTCTACATTACTTTGAGATTAATGTGAAGGTCATGATTTATTTACTTAAATATTTCAAAAAAAAATGGAATTATATACTTAAATATCATGTAAAGGTTCTATAAAGGTTATGTCTTTAAGATTAATAAAAACTCCAATACTTAGAAAATTTAAGAATCTTAGTAAAAATTTGAAGAAAAAAGAAAAGAAAAGAAAAGAAAAGAAAATACTCAAAAAATTTAAGAAAAAAGACGAAATGAAAAAAGGAATTGCACGATCTTTCAAATATTGAATGTCATATGCATATGCAATTCATGATAGTGTGTTAATTATCAAAGTTATTAAAAAAAAAGTGGTAGATGAAAATTATTGAATTATTTTAACTAATTTAACATTTTTTTTAATAAAAATTCAACCCCTAAATCTTTCTATCTTTGACCAATCTAACATTTATAAATTTAAGATAATAAATATGTGAAAAACACAAGAAATAGTATAAATAAAAACAAATTTCATGGATCATATAAAATCTAAAAGCATTTAAAAAAAATTCAACCCCTAAATCTTTCTATCTTTGACCAATCTAACATTTATAAATTTAAGATAATAAATATGTGAAAAACACAAGAAATAGTATAAATAAAAACAAATTTCATGGATCATATAAAATCTAAAAGCAACAAATAAACTCATAACCCACCACAAAACATACCCACCAAATTAACACAAAATATTTAAACATGGCCACAATGGATGATTTTATATATATATATAACCCAATTAATGAATATTTTTTTTTAAAATTTTATTATTAAGAAGAATAACATGAAAATATTCAAAGAATAATACACCTTAACATATAACTTGCAAAACACATTTAAATAGAACAATATTCATTAAGTATAGTGTATGTGTAAATTTATTCATGCAAGTACACAAAAATGGCAAAGATTAGAACGGACCTTTGCTTAATATTTTCCAAATGTAAAACTCCAAATCGAGTTGGACACAACAAGCTATTGACTAAACCTTGAATCGGCAACCTCGACGGATTGAATTTCGTTACTCGACTGTAACTAAAACTCGAAGGAAAATAGGTTCATGCCACAAATTCTTATGGTTATTTTGGGCCTAATTTTGAGGTATTTAAAGAGCTAATTTTTGGTTTCTTTTTTATCTTAAACAAGATAATGAATTGATGTTTTTTTTTTGAAAAAATAGGAAGAAAGAGTGAAAATAGTAAAAATTCTATTTTTGCATAGAAGAAGAAAATATATTTTCTCTCAATTCCCTCTCCTCTTCCTTTTCTCTTTTTTCCCCTCCTTTCTTCTCAAATTTTCTCTTCTATTTATAGCAAAAAATTTCGAAATTTTTCAGATTTTTTTATAAATATATTATTATTTTATTATATTTTAATTAAAAGAAATCCCACTTACAATTTGCTTTTCTTTTCTTTTTTTTATAAAAAGAATTCCCATCTTTCTTTACTTTTATTTTTTAAATTCCTACTTTAATTACTTTTATCTTATTTAAAATCCCATTTTTTTTTATTTTTTAAAAGAGAATTCCACTTATTTTACTTTTCTTAAAAAAACAATCCACTTTCTTTTGCTTTTCTTTTAAAAATTCTACTTTATTTTACTTTAAATATTTTTTAATTTTCAGCTACCTTTATATTTATTTTTTAATTCCAACTTTCTTTTACTTTTTATTTTTTAAAATTTCCACAAAACTTTACTTTTATTTTTTTAATTTTCTACTTTCTTTTACTTTTTAAAAGAAAATTCCACCTACTTTTACTTTTTTTTTAATTCCATACTTCCCTTTTTCTTATTTTTTAAATCTCTCCCGAAAATTAAAAAAAAAATTAATATTTTTTCGGATTTTTTTATTATTTTAAAGTAAAAATAAAAATAAAATAATATTATTAATAATAATTCACCTTTTAAAATTTTTTATTTATTTTTACCCTATAATAAAAAGTGTAACAAATCTAAAAATTGTAGGTTAAAACTCCTAAAATATTTACATAGAAGAAGTGACAAAAAATTAAATATTATCAAAAATTAGGTGCTCACATTAAGTCTTGCCACTAAGAAAATATCTATTTCTAGGGATGTTGTCTTTATTGACAGTGTGTTTCCCTATACCATATCTCCTGATAATTCCTCATTTCCTTCTATTTTCACCTCTGTTCCATTCATTGATAAGATTCAAGAAGGCACTGATTTTACTTATGATTGTGATAATGGCACCAGTGTTACACATGACCAATCCCAACATCTTGAGTCCAATACTAGTTCTGAAAGCCCTTTCAGTCTTGTGCCACAATTTGACACACCTCAACCTTCAAGCCATACTTCATCACCAATAGCCCACCAACCTGTCAATACTCCTGTTGTCCTAAGGAAATCACAAAGACCTCATAAGACACCTGCATATTTACAAGATTACTTACATTCACTACCTACACTAAAACCATCACCATCTGTTGCTCACAATAGTTCTGCTGCACTCTTCTCTCTTAATGCACTGTTTTCTAATAGCCACCATATCACCTCTGATGTTTTGAATCCTGAGAGTCAAAGTCTTGTAAGGGATATCTGCAGTGACAGTGAACCCTCATCTTATGAGGAGGCAGCTATGAATCCTATCTGGCAAACAACTATGAACCAAGAGTTTGAAGCATTACATGCCAACCACACTTGGGACTTAGTTCCTTTACCTGTTGGGAAGAAAGCCATAGAATGTAAGTGGGTGTACAAAATAAAACATAAGGCAGATGGTAGTGTAGAGAAACTCAAAGCCATGATGGTTGTAAAGGGATACACTCTGCAAGCTGGAATTGACTATACAGAAACCTTCTCCCCAGTAGTTAAGATGACAACTGTGAGATCCTTAATAGCTATATCTGTGAAGAAAGGGTGGTATATATCACAACTAGATGTAAATAATTCATTCCTACATAGGGATATAAATGAAGAGGTGTACATGGAGGTCCCACAGGGTTTAGTAGTTGACAACCCATGTTTAGTTTGCAAACTCAACAAATCTCTCTATGGCCTGAAACAGGCAAGCAGACAATGGTATACTAAACTAACTGAAACTTTATGCTCAAGGGGTTATGCACATTCTATGTATGACTACCTTTTATTTTATAAGAAAACTGAACACTCTTTTGTTTACATAGCAGTGTATGTTGATGATATTGTAGTCACAGGAACTGACATTGTGGAGATCATAGATTTAAAAGCATTCTTGAATAATAGCTTTAAAATAAAGGATATGGGAAGGTTGCATTACTTCTTAGGACTGGAAGTTCTCTACAAAGATGATGGTGTAATAATTTCCTAAAGAAAGTTCACTCTTGATCTATTGAAAGAATACTAATGTATGAATCACATCAGCTTCAACTCTCCATTGGACCCCACTGTGAAACTTAAAGCTAAGGAAGGAGAAAGGTTGACAGACCCCACTTACTATAGAAAGTTGATAGGAAAGTTCAATTTCCTCACCAACACTAGATTAGACATAGCTTACAGTGTGCAACACTTAAGCCAATTCATGGATGACCCCAGAGAACCTCACTTAACAGCAGCTTCCCATCTGCTCAGATACTTGAAGGGGGACCCCACATTAGGCATATTACTGTCTAAAGATCAAGATTATACAATTAGAGCATATTGTGATTCAGATTGGGCAGCACGCCCAGATTCCAGAAAATCTGTGAGTGGTTACCTTGTGTTGATGGGGAACAGTCCAATCAGTTGAAAATCCAAAAAGTAAGATACCATCTCCCTTTCCTCTGTAGAGGCAGAATACGGAGCCTTAAGAAAGGCAGTGGGAGAACTGGTGTGGCTTAATCGATTGTTTGAAGAACTTACAACACCCTTTCCCAAGCCCATTGTTGTGTTCTGTGATAGTCAGTCTGCCATACACATAGCCAGGAATCCTGTATTCCACGAGAGAATCAAACACATAGAAGTTGACTGCCATTTTGTAAGAAGCAAGCTGCAGGAGGGTTTGATTTCATTGCACCGTATGGGAACAACATATCAACTTGCAGATGTTCTGACAAAAGCTCTGACAGGAGTTAAGCACTCAGCAGCTCTACACAAGTTGGCAGTGTTTTTCACACCACCAATTTGAGGGGGGTATTGAGATTATTGTTTAATTATGTAAAGTGGCTAGTCTATTGTAAAGTGGCTAGTTAGATGTAAAGTGGCTATGCTAGACATTCAATTTAAGTTATTTAGTTAGGATGTGTATATATATTGTTTACAGATGTTAATAACAAGTTTCATTTCCCATTTTCTATTTCTTCTTCTTCTAGATTGTTCTCTCCTTCTCTCTTTACGGTGATCTTCATGGCTGCACGAGCTAAGCTTGAATCACCCTTCATCTTGAATCGTTAACAATTATAATCTTCCTTGAGAGTTAACGCCGTCTTCATCCGTTAAAATTCTTCAAATGGCTGCATCTCATTGGCCAAATCCCGCCACCGAATATTCTTCCATAAAATTCCTACACCCTCTCTTCTATAAAACCAACCCCTATGAACGGAAAAATACTAGTCCAAAAATAAGTGAAAAACAGAATAAACGGAATGAGCGAGTCACTAAAGCGAAATTATCGTCTGAGCGAGGAGTTAGGAAGGGGACGATTCGGCGCCGTTTTCAAGTGTTACTCGGCGGCGACCGGCGATCAATTCGCCGTCAAGTCCATCGACAAGCGCCTCATCGCCGATGACTCCATCGACCGGCAATGCCTTTACAACGAAGCTAAAATCATGCACTTGCTTTCACCGAGTCCTTACGTTGTTCGTCTCTTCGATGTCTACGAGGACGATACTCACCTCGATTTGGTTTTAGAGCTATGCAACTCTGGCGATTTGTTTCAACGCCTCAGTAGCCGACCGGTTTTCTCCGAGTCCGAAGCCGTTGATGTTATGGTACTCTTCCAGATTACCACAATCTCACTCGTTGCTGGTCAAAAAGGGGAATTTTTGCTTTTGCTTCGTATAATGGCTTGAATCAGGAACGATCTACGAAGCAGCACCTTGTTGAATTTTCGAAAATTGGAGGAGAAAGTAAATAGAATTTCTGATCGGCTTTTTTATTTTAGTTTTTCGTAGGTCTGATAAATTTCTGCATAATTTATGTATAGGTACCACTAATGAAGGCAATAGCGCACTGTCACCGGCTCGCTGTAGCTCACAGGGACATCAAACCGGATAACATTTTGTACAACAACTCAAACGAGCTGAAATTGGCTGATTTTGGCTCGGCTGAGTGTTTCCGTGAGGGGCAGCTGATGAGCGGCGTGGTTGGAACGCCGTATTACGTGGCGCCGGAGGTGTTATCCGGGAGAAACTACAATGAGAAGGTTGATATTTGGAGTGCTGGTGTTATTATGTATATAATGCTTGCCGGAATCCCGCCTTTTTATGGGGAATCGGCTACGGAGATCTTTGAGGCTGTTCTCAGAGCGAACCTTAGGTTTCCGACTAAGATCTTTCAGTCAGTGTCGCCGGCTGCGAAGGATTTGCTTCGGAGAATGCTCTCTTAAGGCGTTTCTAGAAGATTCTCTGCTGAACAAGTCCTTAGTAAGTGTAGTTCTCCTACCATATCATTTTTTAAGCTTGTATTGACTCTACTACTACCTTTTACTATGATCTACTTTTGTTATCTAAATTAACTACGTTGATTGGTAAATTTGATTTTACCTAGACACTTAATCTTTCCTTATATCCTAATTAACCGGAAGATTTAGTAACGTCTTCTATTTCACTCCCCTGTTATGTTCTCCGTCGTTCTTTTGTGTTCTTTGAATTTTGATCTCTTATCCACTTCCTCACTTATGGATTGACTATCAATTTGACTTTGACCAACTCTCAGAATAACATTAGATTCATATTGTTTTTAATAGAGTTTAGTTTATACACGAATAAGAAATCTTTATACAATTAGATTACTTATTCGGTAATTATCCGTTGATAAGTTCTAATTAGTAATGTAGTAAAAATATTACTAACCTGTGATAAAATTCTATGATAGTGTAAAAAATTATTTTCACTCTCAATGTATTTAACTTTATCCTTTAAAATAATCTTAGTTAGATCATTTTAGCATAGTGTCATTTGTATATTTATCATTGTTCTTGGTTTTTTTATATCCATTTATTGTTATTGTAGTTACTGGTTACTAAATTGTGTTAATGTGGCGGTGATAAGGGCACCGATGGATGACTGGCAATGGAGAAACTAGAACAGTTGCGCTATTTTAGCTTGAGGAGATTTGCGTCTGCCGATAAAAAATCATACAAACCGGATTTTTGGGTACGTAAAGATCAGCAGCCGCATATGAGAGCAAGCTATTCGTCTAGATAGAATTAGTTACTCCTAGTAAATACTAGTACTCCATTTACTGTATAGCCACCAGCCTAGTAATTAACTAGTAACTACCTACCTACCTAGTTATCTTTGTGGGCTTCCTTCTGCGTGAATTAACAATTAATACTTGCGAAGTTTGGATGCAATTTTCTTGTATGTTCCCTTCCTGCACTGTGTTTTTTGTTTGCGAATGGGAAAGGAGAATGCCATGAATTCTCTTCTTTTTGGGGGATATTTAGCTAAATTATCATCTTTCTGATATTCCTTTTGTTTAATTTAGAAAGAACGTATTTATTTACCCGTAAAACGATACAGTTGAATTTGCAACGTGGATAGACACGTGAATTAAATTGATCCAAGAATGTAAAATAACTAAGAATAGAAATAAATTAATTAAGAAAATTTGAAGAAAATACAAGCCTGATTGTGAAGTGAGCTTATCCAGAAGCAAGAACAAGAATAGAGTATTGAGAAAGAATGTTAATAAAACAAAGGTAAGTTTAGCCTTTTTGTATATAGATCTTTTGTGTGTATACAATGAGTACAAATTCTCTTATTTATAGCTAAATACACGGAGACAAGATCTCTAAATCTAACTCTGTTTTAATATGAATAAAGACCTCTCTTGATGGCTGCATAACGGTTGAATAAAATTGCAAAGATTCTTTATAGTGGCTGCTCCTTAAATATTGCATTCTTCAACCGATATCTTCCTTTTGAACTTTCGTCCCCGGTTCCAATGTCTTCGGAACTCGTACAACATTGGACACATGTGTAGGCATATAAATTTTACTTAAATTAAATCCATACAATAATTTGGACTTTATTTTAAATTCAAGATATATTGGTCCAAATAAATATTATGGGCTAATATATAAATGAATTAATTATATGGGTCCAACATATATGAATTGAATAAATAAGTCTTAATCCATTGGGCTAGCCCATTTAATTGGGCTAAAGTGATGAGCCCACTTCATTAGGCCCAAAATATCATCTTCCTAGAAGCCCAGTTTGGTGCCACGTGTCAAATGATGTGGCGCACCAAGTCAAACGGAAGAGCTAATAGGATCATGCCACGTGTCAAAATGACAAGGCATGCCAAGTCACACTAAAAGGCCAATGAAATCGCGCCACGTGTGCAAGTGACATGTTCTGGCCATCAAATGCAGCCATGTCACAGTTCAATTTGATTGGTTGGAAAGAGTTTATTCTTATCATAACTCTTCTCTTCCACAACTATAAATAGGGGTCTTCATAACTCAGAAAAGACATCAGAAGTTATAACAAGAAGCAAAAGAGAGCTCGTGGATCAAACGCCGCAAGTTTCTCTACAAGTTCCAAGCTTCAAGCAATCAAGTTCAAGAAATCAAGTTCAAGCTCAAGAACGAAGAACGAATCAAGGTCTAGTTCAAGCAATCAAGCTCAAGCTCAAGAACAAGATCATCGTTCGTGGGAACAAATATAGATTCAAAATCAAGCTCAAAGGCGCACACTTGAATTTATTTACTATTGAAAAGTAGAATAAGAGGATCCATAGTGATTGTAACATTCAAATATTCGAAATAAAATACTACGATTGTTGCGATATTTTTCGGTCTTGGTTGTATTTTCTTGACGCAATTTATTGTCTATAAATTCTGGCATGCCCAGTGGGACAATCTCTACCTCTCATCTCAACTTTTCAATTACCAAAGTCCAAGAACATTGAAATGGCTTCAAAGAAAATCAACTTCGGTTCAACTTCCACCAAGGCTGCTAACTCCAGGTTCTATGCTGATGTGGAAAGCATCCTCAATGTTACCTTTGGAAGCTTCGGAGTAGTTACGAGGAGCAAAGCAAGCTCTTTAGGACAACAAGCACCCCAAGTGCCGTTTGCGTTAACCCCTGTTTTCGAATCTTCATCCTCAAAAGGAGCAAGATCTTCCACAAACGCATCTGAAGGAGGAAGCGATGTTGCTGAAAAGATCAAGAAAACTCTTGCTCTACTTGACATCTACAGATCCAAGCACTTTGCTGTGAAGAAAGATGATGATGCTTCAAGTGATGGATCCTCCCACCTTACACCACTTAGCTTGAGCCGATCAAGGATTAATTTGTATGAAAATCCATGCTACTCTCCGTCGTCCACGACAATCATGCAAGCCATGGTGACAAATACTTCATCCGTGGAGGAGCAGTTGGCAAACTTGACGGAAGCAATCATTGGCTTGACCAAATACATGCAAAATCAAGAGGCTAGAATCGATAAGCTAAAAGATAGGGTGGAAATCTTGATGGAAGAAGAATCCACCCATGCACCCGGCAAGCTCCCAGAAGTTCTGGAGAGTGACTCTCCCCTAAGACAAGTAGCATCCACTAAGGCTATCCTTGTCTCATCTGAAGGGATGATTCCAATCGATCAACTGAAAGAGTTCATTGAAGGAACCATTAAGAACAAATATAAGGTTGCTGCCAAATCCTCCCTTACGTATGCAAAGCTGTACACTGCAAGGGTCGATATGTTGAAGATGCGTGCTGGCTATCAACCTCCAATATTTCAACAGTTTGAAAGTAAAGGTAACCCAAAGCAACATGTGGCGCAATTCGTGAAGACGTGCAACAATGCTGGGACTTATGGAGATTACCTCATCAAGTAGTTTGTCCGCTCGCTAAAAGGAAATGCTTTTGACTGGTACACAGACCTCGAGATCTGTCGATAGTTGGGATCAACTACAGCAAGAGTTCCTCAATCGCTTTCATAGTACGAGACGCACTGTGAGTATGATAGAACTTACAAATACTCGTCAACAAAAAGGGGAACCAGTTATCGACTTTATCAATCGTTGGAGGAATGCAAGCCTCAACTGCAAAGACAGGTTTATTGAAGCTTCAGGCATAGAGATGCGCATCTAAGGCATGCATTGGGGATTGTGCTACATCTTGCAAGGTATCAAGCCTGACACATTTGAAGAACTTGCAACTCGTGCTCATGACATGGAATTGAGCATGACCTCCACTGGAAATGAAAGGCTGCCCATCTATGAACCTCGCAAAGGAAATGGCAAGCAAGAAGTCAGGAAGTGGGGCAAGTTTGTACCCAAGTCTGAAAGCAAAGAAGCTATGAATGTCAATACGTCACCTGTGAAGTTCACGACGAAGGTGAGCAAGAAGCAGAGTATGAAATCCACTTCTTTTCAAGATAAGCCAAGTGAAAAGTTGACTCTAAAAGAAATACAAGAGAAGGAGTACCCATTTTTGGATTCTGATGTGCCTGCCATTTTCGAAGAACTCCTCGAGTTAAATCTTATTGAGCTTCCGGAGATGAAGCGACCAAGTGAAGCTGGAAAAACAAATGACCCAAATTACTGCAAATATCATCGACTTGTAAGCCACCCTCTAGAGAAGTGCTTTGTCTTCAAGGACAAAGTCATGGACTTGGCTCACGAAAAGAAGATCGTGCTTGAAGATGAGAAAGAAAGCGCAAACCAAGTCTCTATCACCTTTGGCTCATTCAGTCCGAATGAATTATGTGATTTTAAAGAAAGTAAAGATGCAGAATTACTGGAGAACAACAAGCCGAAGTCAATCAACCTGATGATGATGAAGGTTGGACATTGGTGACTCGTCGTAAGCACCACAAAAGGAGCCCACAAAAAGAATCAATAGAACAACCAACAAGGAAAATGATGGTGAAAAGACCAAGGAGATGGAATCCAGTTAAATATTTGAGGAAATCAAAAGTGGAGGTGCACCATCCTCAAAAGCCACGACATCCATTGACCTTGGAGTAGTTCTTACCAAGTTGGTTCCGCACGAAGATTTCCCATGAGGGTATTGAGGCCTCTTGTTGCAATGTTGATAAAGGGGAAGAAAAGAGTGATGTCCTACCATTGGCACCATCTTTGGAAAAGCTCATCGAGTCCACTCCCCAAGAAGTTAATGCGTGTGAGGAAAAAGTCACGTTCACAAATGACGATCTTCTGCTAGGTGATACTCTTCATAACTGCCCATTGTACTTGATTGGTTATATGCGTGATGAAAAGGTAAATCGAATTTTGGTTGATGGAGGATCCTCAGTGAACATTTTACCAATTCTCACTGTGAAAGAACTTGGTATTCTCATGAACGAATTCTCAGAAAGTCGTGTGATGATCCAAAGATTCAACCAAGGGGGGCAAAGAGCCATAGGCGCGATCAAGCTGGAAATCACCATTGAAGATATGCAATCAAGGGCATGGCTACATGTGATCGATGCAAAGACTTCATACAACGTCTTGCTTGGAAGGCCTTGGATACATGAGAACAAAGTAGTTCCATCTACCTACCATCAATGTTTGAAATACTATGAGGGTAAAGTCGAGAAGAAGATAGTTGCTGATGATGAGCCATTCACCGAGGCTGAGTCATACTTCGTCGATGTAAAGTTCTACTTGAAGAACCGCATTGTGAAGGAAATAAAAGTTGATGGTGGCATGAAAAGCAAGAATGACGAGTCCATAACTAAAAGAGCTGAGGTGACTATTGGTAAAGCCAAAGCTGTTACTGAGGAGGTACACGCCAACGTGAATAAATCTCATAAAGGGGGTATTTCATCTTATGACAAAAAAGTAAGTCGTGCGCTCAATATGTCCCTAAAAGGAATAAAGATGAAGGTGAAACATCTAATCTCCAAGCTAATATACTAAAGGAGTTAGCTCTTCCGGTCAAACAAATTGAGGCAGTAAAGTCGTCCTCAATGCCATTTGTAGGGTTTGTGGCCCAAAATCATTTGTAGAATGTGGCACTCCCTACAAAGCGAACAGATGAAGGTTTTGATCTTAACGCTTACAGGCTATTTGCAAAAGCTGGATACAATCGTAATGAGCCGTCAAAGTTAGGGAAGCTACCATCAGAAGCTGCAACGAGACAACCACGTGACGGTTTGGGATACAAGCAACCGTCACTAGTGCGCATCTCAATAAGAAGGGTAAGTAGCAATTATATCACTGTAGAAGACGAATCTGCCGCTTCTAACATGCCTTCTGTCTTTCACCGACTTGGAAAATCAACTGTGAGAACTTTCGTATTTGAGAGATTGGGTCCATTAAAGAAGGGGAACAAGTTCCAGAGAAATTTTCAAAGCATAAGAACACCCACTCCACCCAAAATCCAGAAGATCTCTAATGATTTCCAAAGTTTAGTTCCTTTAAGAATGAGGCGACAAACAAAACTTATGATTTCATGTAAAGAAGTGCTAAAGGTAAAGCCATATACTGTGGTCTACACTAAGGAACATGACGAAGATGAAGAAAATGTAGGTTCTTCGTATCATGTCAC